GGCATCTGTGGTAAGGGTGAGGCGGTGGGGCTCCTTGATGAAGTGACCCTTGTTGATGGTGGGGCTGGTCCACCAGAGGAGAGATGTAAGGACTTTTGGAGGTACCTTGACTGTGGCCTTTGAGGTGCTTCTGCCGGTCCGCTGGAATGGGAGCAGGAACCATTGTAGGGGTCTAGCGTGTAAACGGGCCCATGGAACAATGGAGATACAAGAAACCATTTTACCCAGTAATTTGGACAATTCTAAAATTGTAACCTTCCTGGAGCGTCTGATATGCCTGACGGCTTCCTGGATACTAAGGAATCTCTCGGGGGAGAGGAACACCTTACCCTGCACTGAGTCAATGACAGCCCCCAAGTGGGAGATCCTTGTAGATGGGGATAGTTGGCTCTTTTGCCAATTAACTAGGAAACCATGGTCTTGGAGGGCCGAGATAGTAACCCTGATGTCCCTCTCTGCTTGGGGTCTGGAGGGAGAGAGGATGAGGATGTCATCCAGGTAGCAATGGAGGCGGACCGGGAGATTCCTGAGATGAGCCGCCAGGGCCGCGAGGACTTTAGTGAAGGTCCTCGGGGCAGAGGCTAGCCCAAAGGGAAGGGCGACATATTGGAAGTGGCGGTGGTTGTAGCAGAACCTGAGGAATTTGAAATGGGAGGGTCGGATTGGAATGTGGAGGTAGGCCTCGGAGAGGTCTATGGAGGATAGCCAGTCCCCTTGGCGGATGCTGAGGAGGATGGACTGCAGGGTGTGCATCTTGAACCTGCGATAGACCAGATAACGGTTAAGGCGTTTAAGGTCCAAGATGGCCCTCCATCCTCCGGAGGATTTGGGGACTACAAAAAGGTGGGAGTAGAACCCCTGCCCCCGCTGGGAGGGTGGGACGGGTTGAATGGCCTGTATTTGGAGAAGATGATGGATTGCTGAATCCATTAGGTTGCGTTTGATGGGGTCCCTTGAGGGGGGGGACGCCAGAAAGAAGTCAGGGGGGGCGCTCTTGAATTCGAGCGTGAGGCCGAGTCTGATGGTATCACGGACCCAGGTATCAGAGGTGGAAGAGTCCCATCGGTTGGCAAAGTGCTTGAGGCGTCTGCCGATGGGAGGGGAGGGACGGGATCTATCTACGCCGGAAGGGCCTCCCTCCTGAGCCCCTGAAAGGGCGCCTGTAGCCGCTGCCCCTCCTGTTCCTATCGGCCGGATCGGTTCGATCCTGGGGCTGGAACGGTCGGGAGGAGGGGGGTCTCGAGTACCTTGGCGGGAAGGGAGACTGGTAGAAAGGGCGGGAGGAGCCTCTCCGAAATGGCTGGGGGCCTCTAGACTCTGACCTCCGAAACAGAGGAGGGAGAAATTTTCTCTTGCTCCGGGTTTCAGATAGCAAGGGGTCCAGAGCCGTGCCAAATAGTTTGTCCCCTTTTATGGGGGCAGTAGCCAGCTTAACTTTGTTTTTAACGTCCGCCTGCCAGTGTTTAAGCCAGAGCAGGCGGCGAGCAGTGACATGGGACGTTATTGCCCGGGCAGAGAATTTGACCGCATGGAAGGTGGCGTCAGCAGAAAATTCCGCCGCGGCCGTCAGTTTTGCTATGTCCTGGTGAGCCCTTGTGTTGGAGGGGGGAACATGTTGCTTCAGTTGCCGAAGCCACCGGATCGAGGATCTGGTGAAGAAAGAAGCCGCAGTGGCTGATCTAATGGCCCAGGAGTCCGCTTGGTGAGCTCTACGTAGGGCGAGCTCGGACCTCTTGTCCTCGGGTTTCAGAGCCTCTAGGAGGTCACTGGGGGAGGACGAGGAGGCCAACCCAACAATGGGCTCATCCACCTCGGGGGTGTTGAGTAAGTCACAGAAACTCGACTCGAGGTTAAAGAACCTCCTGTCCAGGCTGGATGGGGCGGGAGGGGCCCTAGTAGAATTCAGTTGATTTGAGACCAGGTCATGAAATAGGGGTGGAGCCGGGATTACCTCCGCCTCCACCATGGGTTGACTAAAGATGGCGTCCTCCTGACCTTCTGCCGGGGAGGGGAGAGCTGAGGAGGTTTGCACCGACAGGCCAGAGATGTTCCTGGCTTTGAATAAAAGGGATTTAAACATGTGGGGCTTGAACAGGCCCGCAACAGTGGGTTGGTCCGGGGTGAGACCCTCATCCTCGGACATGTCCCCCTCCATAGGATCTACCTCCGATAGGGGCTCCTCTTGTTGCATAGACCCCCATTCCATTTCCTCTTCCCCCCCCAAATTGGTCTAGATACTCTATATCCTCCTCCGGGTCCCTTTCTGGGAGAGGACTGCCTCCTTGAGAAGGTACCTGACCACGAGTAGGGTCTGATCTAGGCGAGGACCTCATTGATGGTGGGTCGTGTTCGGGCGCCAGTGAGGGGGGAGTAGACCTGGACATCTGTTGAAGGCCCTCTGCTATCCCCTGGCGAATGGCCCGTTCCATCAATGCCTGTATGTGCGCAGGGATCTCGGATGAGGGGGCCTCCTCCTGGCGAAGACCAGCGGCCGTGGGCGTGAAAGTAGCTTCAGGAGGCTGTCTGGTTGATGGGCCGGGAGCCTGGTGTCCCTGGGATGGGCTGCGCCTGGAGACGGAAAAACAATCTGGAGGAGGGGGGGGGGTCTGGAGGTAGAAGGAGCGGAGGGTGCTGGAAGTACCGGTTGTGTCTCTCTGGACCGCCTGTCAAATTCCCTCTCGAGAGCCCTGTGACGTCGTAGGGCGTCTCTCTGAGAAGCCTTAGAGGTCTCCTTAGGTGTTTCCTTAGGAGTTTCCTTAGCCTGTTTGCGCAGGTGGTAGGATTTGGATTTGGCCTTCAAAGAAGGGCCTTTGGTGGGAATGTCATCTGCCATTGTACAAGAAAGGACAGTAATACAGTTAAAGGCGGTTGGCTCGCCAAGGGTTCGACCTACAACAAAGGTCGGGTGTCCTTTCAGCTGGCCCACACCCCCTTTTGGAATTTAGATGTATAAATTCTGTAATATAGATGTTGAAATAATTCTTAATACTTATCTGCACAAGCAGGATAACAATCCAATGAGACTTGGAATGCTAAGGTACAATATCAATAAGAAAAAAATTACAGGAATAAACTCACTCAGGTCTATCTATATGCGAGTATAAATATAAACCTATATATGAGGAAATATCTAGACCTGCATACAGGCAGATATTCCAATGTCTATTAGAATTAGAACTATTGTTAATATTCTTGTTCTAATATTATTATTAGTAATATATGATTATTATTAATATTATTATTATTATAATTATTATAATTGTAATTATTAATATTATTACTCTATTAATGAAAGATTGCCAATTATCCGAATTAAACGCCTGAGGCTGGAAGAGAGGCCTCTGGCAGCTGGAGCTCCCAGGCAACAACCGGGAGGGATAGGCTGCAATCACTTGCCCTGAGCCTGTTGCGGGAAGCCAACAATTACTAAATTGTACCAATTAGCAAAGGCCCTACAGGCTGAGAGGCCTGTGCTAGGGCCGGTTACTTCGCAGCGCTATGAGGCCTCAATCTTTTTATTTTATTTTTTTAAAGATGGCGCCCGCCACGTGGTGGCGCCCTAGAGGCGATCGCCCACGTTGCTGAAGTCCCGGGCTGCTCAGGGCAATGAAGTTTTTTACTTCTCCGGCCTTAAAAGAGGCCGAGGAAGCCAAGCAGTAAGTTTTCGCCCCTTCTTAGGGCGAGCGGCGTTTGCGGTGGGGGGGGATACCAGCAGCACTTATCAGTGCGATCAGTAAAGCTGCTGCAAGCGCAGCGAGAGAAACGGCAGGCAAGAGATCAAATTGGGGGGGGGGAATTAGCGCCGAAGCGCGAAAGTCGCCCGTTCTACAACCCCCCTGGGGGCGAAAGAAACGCGCTCCCCTTAAATCCCCAGTCCTGCGCCAGAAGGCTAAGGAAAATAACTTGTTTTTCTCTATAAATATTTCCAAACCTGAGAGCAAGTCTTGGATCGGCCAAGGAGTGAGAAATGCACAGCCTAACTTGACGACGGCTGAGCGCAAACTGGGGAACGCAAGAGAGCCACGTGATGGAGGGCGGAGCGTTCCTCAGTGATTGAGCTCAGCCATCAACGACGTAGACTGAAGCACCTCCCACTCTCTGGATGATCCGAACGGCTCTCAGGAGAATACATACTTGGTTGGAAAAAATGATAAAGCAGCATATAGATTTGAAACCAGAAATATTCTTATTGGGCATCCTGCCGGAAAAGTATGATAAAAGAAATATATCCTTAATTTTACATGTATTAACTGCAGCCAGAATTGTATTTGCACAACAATTGAAAAGCGATGAGATCCCGACAGATTGTGAAAATATCATTGTAAACAACTTATGATTGCCTAAAAATACTTGTACCCAGACAACATACTGATTGATTGAAATTGATTTTTACATGTTACATAAATAAAATAAATAAAACATGAAAAAAACCCCATAATGTGCAGCCAAAGGACAGACTTGGTTGCTGATCACACCAGAATCTGGAAACCTGTTGTCCACTTGTTTTGCCTTTTCAAGACAAGCTTTCAGAATACAGCTTGCTACACAAATGTGATAAAAATACCACAAACATATTCACAAAATGTACTGGTATTTAATGCACCCTTTGCTCAATTCCTGTCCTGATAAGGATAACTACAAAGAATGTTATCTTACATCTTTGCTAAATTACATCGTACTTTAAGTTTTTTGTATTTTCATGCATAAGTGAGGATATATTTTTGCAGAACACAAAAGCTTTCATTTTGGAGCATCATGCAACCTGTTTTTCTGCTAATGATTTTTCCAAATTAACTGCCACGCTTTAAAAAAAATTGTCATTCACACCTGATTTTGAGCTTTTCTTCTATTTCTTTTGCGGAGATTCCATGAAAGGTCGTGCAAATAAGATCAATGGGAAAACATGACTAGTCCTCTAATTATGTTTGTCATCAACCCTCACACTGATAAGGAGAATAATGCTAAGTGAAAATCTTGTCTGAACACCTCCCAATACTTACTAACTGGCAAGTTAGCCTTCAGAATTTTTGCAATCCAGTTGATGAGGTACTGAGACCGAAGTGACGAAATCCTTGCGTGCGCCTTCAAATCATCAAACATTTTCTCCAGTAGAGTCTGAGTGGAATGTTTGGAGTGCAAACCTCTAAGCAGGGGCTGCCAGAAACGAAGAAATGCTGGAGGGATCTTAAAATCCCACTTGTGAGTTTCTACACTCCAAATCACAAGACAAAAGACGGGCGGGGTAGAAAAATAAAAAGTGAATATTATATATGAACAATAATACCCTTTCCTCAGTGTCCTTAAAGATTAGAAAATTAAAATTTGATATTAATTCCTTGGGGGACAAGAAAATACAACCATAATAAATATTCCTAGTTTTAAAGAGAGAGAAAGAAGTGTAAGGACAAACATCAACAAATAAGTGACTGATAATTTAAAAAGGGCAAGAAAAATGAAATAGATGAGCTCTTGGGCAAACATTTTCTTGGAAGATAAATAATTTAAAAGAGTTGCAATTGTAAAAATAATTTAGGATGACTGGGGGTCAGAGGGCATAGACCAGGGTCTTCAAACCTGAGAGCTTTAAGACTTGAGGACTTCAACTCCCTGAATTCCTCCTCCAGTCATGTTAGCTCAGGAATTCTGGGAGCTGAAGTCCACAAGTCTTAAACTTGCCAAGTTTGAAGACCCTTGGCATAGACCACCAACCAATCTCAGTGAAGGAAAACAGATAAGTTACTTTTTCCTTGAATTTTTGAATTCTTCACTAGCATGAACAGTTTTTCACTATGTAGAGCATGATTTCTTTCTATTATTTGAGATGTTATCCAAGGGACCATTATTCTCTCTTCCAAACTGCCTGAAAGTTAAAACCTACAGGAGAAACGTTTCTGATCGTGTCCCACTATCAGAGTCCTGCTGATCTGGTAAAGAGTGTTTGGTAGTTTCAGATGATTAAATTAAAATTAAAACCCATACCTTTAGAAAATCAGTCAAAACCTGGAAATCCTACCAATTTGAAGCTTTGGTTTTTATCTTAACAAACCGGTCCTAGTAATCGCTTTGAGCGTTTGAATGGAATGGCCATACTGCGCAGACAATTAAATTGATTGCCAGGATCCAGTGCAGTTAATCTACACAGATTTTGAATGGCCAATGGTTGGAGAACTTTGCTTGTTTGACCAAGGAAAAAAAAGCAACTTAATACACCAACCTTGAGGAGGAATATTCAAGATCTGTAAAGTGTCAGCAGTTGGAATGAGAAAGCCATCTTCGAGCAACGTCTCAGCCACAACTTCCCTATAGGAATTGTAAAGCCCAGTGAGTATTTTCTAGGATCTTCCACAGCATTATTATGGTTGCCATATTATGATTAATATCTAGTCAGCTCGATATTCAGACTGGATTTGGCATTCCCCTAACCCCCCCCCCCCCAATCTATTGAGTCCTTCCCAGAGATCTTCGACAGACTGATGTCATTGTTTAATAATATTAAAGGTACCATCACAGGATTTAAGCTACTCCCAAGTAAAGCTGCCTTTTGCAATTGACTAATGCCAGTGGTGTACCAGTTGTTTTGGGATTGCACCCTACATGCCTATCAATGCCTATCAATAACTTTGCTTTCTTTTGCCACAGTTGTTCTCTTTTTGCAGGTTTTTCTATTTTGCTATCTTGTCCTGTTCTGTCTCTTCTATTTTGCTGTCTCTAGATTACTGCTACATCCACTATCCAGACATTTTGAACTTGTTATTGACAATATTGACAATTGGTATTTAGTAAATTGGTATTCATTTCTGCTGAATTTCTCCTCCCTTCCTTTACAGGTAGTCCTCGACTTGCAACCGTTCATTTAGTGACTGAAGTTACAATGGCCCTGAAAAAAGTGACTAATTACCATTATTGACACGACAGTTGCAGCATCTTCATGGTCATGTGATCAAAATTCAGATGCTTGGCAACTGACTCATATTTATGATGATCTTATGAGAAGCAAAGTCGATGGGGATAGTCAGATTCACTTAACAACTTTATTACTAATTTAACTGCGCCGACTGACTTAACAACTCTGACAAGAAAAATCGTAAAATGGGGCAAAACTCACCTAACAAATCTCGCTTAACAATAGACATTTTGGGCTTAGTTGTGTTCCTGGGTCGAGGACCCCCTGTATTTTAGAAGGGATTTTCTTTATACATAAAGCCAATATATTTGGACACAGTTATTCTTTATCACTGTACTGAAAAACAATGGGATTCACATTGCTGGTTCTTTGTGTTTTAAATTTGCTAGCATATTTTGGGCTGGAGACTCCAAAAAGGAATTAAGGAGAGATATACATCCTATAAATTTCTCTGCTCTATACCACAACAGCCAGGCTGTTTTTTTCCCCATAAGCAATTTAAAACCTGCTAATTTCCAAAACCACTCTACAAAGAATTAGGATGTTTTTTCCTTTACATTTCCAGGACTTGAGGAAGTTCACACTTTGTCAAAGTCCCTCAACCAGGAAATCCAGCAATGTATTGCAAAATCACAAGGTGATGCGAGAAGTTTAAAAACCTCCGAGGATTTCCTTCCTCTTTCCTTTCGTACAAACAGAAAGTATTGATGCTGAGTAGCTAGGAAGATGAGTTTGGCTGACCAAAACATGCTGGCCTTGCCGTGCTTATCAGCAAATCTGCTATGTATACTGCAGAAACCTTTTTGTATAAATTATATGTAACCTGCTCCCTTACCCAAATGAAAACAATGAGTTACTTCTTACAAGGCCATTTCTATCTAAAGCAAGGATGTCCAACCTTGGCAATTGTTAAGACCTGTGGACTTCAACTGTTCATTTAATGACCGTTCAAAGTTACAACGGCACTGAAAAAAGTGACTTATGACCGTTTTTCACAATTATGACATTTGTAGCATCCCCATGATCACGAGATGAAAACTTGAATGCATGGGGATTGGTTCATATTTATGATGGTTGCAGGTCATATGTTTTGTGACCTGACTAGCAAAGTCCATGGGGAAGCCAGATTCACTTAACAACTATGTTACTAATTTACCAACTGCAATGATTCACTGAACAATGGGGGCAAAAAAAGTCATAAAATGGAGAAAAACTTCTGTTTCACTTAGCAACAGAAATGTTGGGCTCAACTATGGTTGTAAGTTGAAGACTACCTGCAATGTGTTTTAAGTCATTACAGGCAGCCCTCAAGCCTATATCCATTCGTTTAGTGACTGTTTGAAGTTACAACGATACTGATAAAAGTTCAGACTGGTCCTCACACATGACGATTGTAGCATTTCTATGGTCACGTAGTCAAAATTTGGGACCTCACTGGCATGGAATAAGATGGTTGCAGCATCCTGGGGTCATGTGAATACCATTTGCAACCTTTCTAGCGATTCTTCCAACAAGTAAAATCAATGAGAGAAACCCGATTCACTTAATGACCACATGCTTCACTTAACAAGTGTAATTTGTTTAATGACCACAGCAGAAAAGGCTGTAAAATCAGGCGCAACTCACTGAAATATTCAGTCTTATATGCCAAATTTCTACTGCCAACTCTGCTCTCTTCCATTTCATTGACGCAACCCTGCACATGGTTTGGCTGCATTTGTATTACACACAGAAATGTTCCTAAGTGCATTCTAACTGAACCTAAAATCTGAAATATGTATTTATAAGGCAAAATGACAAGAGAAGAGTAGAGTAGAGTAGAGTAGAGTAGAGTAGAGTAGAGTAGAGTAGAGT